GCTGCCCGCCGGGCTCCCGCCCGCGCCGCGCACAGCACCTCACGGCACCTCCCCCCACGGCCCCGCGCCCTTCCGTCATGGCATCTCACAGGACCGCACCGCCTCGCCTGCCCCTTCACCGCCCCGCACTGCTATCACCACCGCACCGCACCGCGCCTCACCACGTTGCACCTCACCACGTTGCGCCTCACCGCATCTCACCTTGCCGCATGTCACCTCACCTCACCACGTCGCACCTCACCTCACCACGTCTCACCTCACCTCACCGCACCTCACCTCACCTCACTGTACCTCACCTCACTGTACTGCGCCTCACCGCATCTCACCTCACCGCATCTCACCTTGCCACATATCACCGCACCGCACCTCACCTCACTGTACCACATTGCATCGCACTGCATCGCACCTCACCACATCTCACCTCACCACGTCGCACCTCACTGTACCGCATCGCACCGCACCTCACCTCACCTCACCGCATCTCACCTCACCACATCGCCCCTCACTGTACCGCACCGCACCTCATCTCACCTCACTGCATCTCACCTCACCACATTGCGCCTTACTGCGCCTCACTGGATCTCACCTTGCCGCATATCACCTCACCGTACTGCACCTCACCTCCCTGTACCATGTCACACCCCACCTCACCATGTCTCACCTCACCTCAGTGTGCCGCATCGCACCTCACCTCACCGCCCCTCACAGCATATCACCACCACACCGCATCGTGCGCCTCACGTCACCGCACAGCGTCGCACCTCACCACGTTGCACCTCACTGCATCTCACCTTGCCGCATGTCACCTCACCTCACCACGTCTCACCTCAGCGCACTGCACCTCACCGCACCGCACCGTACTGCACCACACCGCATCTCACCTCACCACATCGGCCCTCACTGCGCCTCATCACATCTCACCTCACCGCATCTCACCTTGCCACATATCACCGCACCGCACCTCACCTCACTGTACCACATCGCACCGCATCGCACCTCACCACATCGCGCCTCGCAGCACCACACCACACCTCACCTCACCGCGCCGCATCTCACCGCCCCTCACCTCGCTGCATCTTGCCCAGCCGCCTCGTTGATCTGGCAGGGAAGGAAAGAGCCC